CAATAGTGACTCCTCCTAGTTCTGCACAGATTTCTGATTCGAATTTGATGCCTAGAAATAGCAAAGTTAGGAAAGTTATGGTATTTGATAAGGATGGTTCAAGTTTGCAACCTAATAAGGCCAATGAGAGTAGTGCAAAATTAGATGGTTCCCATTCTGTTATAAATAGTGGTTCTGGTTCTGAAGACTCTAAGCAGTCTGAGGGAAAAATTAAATCTTCTGGTACTTGTAATGTGCAGGATGGCCTTAGAAAGCCTTGTTCAAAAAAAACCGGTGTTTCCCATGGAAAGTATAAGTTCAAAAAATCTCCTAAGGTTACTGTAAAATTTGATGATTCCTCAGGTGCCGCAAAAGATGCCCCCATTTCTGACAAGAAACCAAAACCATTAGAGGGGAAAGGTACAATTCATTGTCTTGGTATTATGGGGGATGGTGGTGCTCAAACTTATTCTGAAAGGGCCAATGTTTCAGTTGGAGAGAATAAAGTGGAAGGGACTCTTAGGAGCACTGTTTCTGATAAAACTGGTGCTAGTGTTGGTAAATCATCCTCCCTCAAGGCTACCAAGAAGAAAATAATTGTGAGGAAAGTTGTGAAAAAAGTTACCAATTCTTCCTTGAATTTGGCAAATTCAGAATCTGCAAAGAAGGGTGAGCAGCCTGTTAAGTCTGATACCCGTACTTGTTGTCTATCTGCTACCTCTGTGGCTGACAAGAGTGTTACACCTCTTAAAATGAAAATTGCTTCTGCTGCTGTGGATTCAGTGCATGCTGTTGTTTCAGAGTGTTGTACAGAAGAATCAGTTCTGCCTCTTGAAAATGAGAAAGCGAATGGAGCTTCAAGAGACATAGCCTCAAAAAATGTTGGTGCTGATGTTGATCCTGGTATTTCAGTTGCACCAAAGACTAAGAGAAAGAGGAAAAGCTCAATTCTTCCTTTGAGTTCTCCAGGTCATGAAGAGACTAAAGTTGATCAGTGTTCTGTTAATGCTGATAATTCTGTCCTCAGCCTTCATATCACTTCAAATATCAAGGAGGATCAGACTGAAACTGAAAAACCAACAGAAACTATGACATCTGGTTCTCTTATTGTTGAAGATCTTAACAAGCAGTTTTACCATAATGAAAGTAACATTAATTATGGTTTGTCAAGATCAGAGGACGTCAAAGTCCATGGGGATTTTGTAGATATAGGTTCATCTATTCCAATGCATAACTCCTCTGGTGTTGACTGTGGTTCATCTAACACCCAGGAGACAAATATTGCTTGTGACACTGGCAATATGAATTCTGGTCGCAAGCAGGTTTTTATGACTCCTAGAAGTCCAGTAGTTGAGGATGGTACTACTGGGGAATTACCAGAAGCTAATTGTTCATTAGGAAGCAGCAAACTTCCCCATTTTCCGTGCTTGGAGGAAACTCACAATAATAGTGGTTCCATCCATGCAGACTGCTCCAACCAGAACAGAAGTACATTAGGCACTCCTGATATTGGTTATGTTAATTCAGAGAGAACAACCGTGAGATAGGTGACGGTTTTGTTAAACATCTTTCCTCATCCAATGTATCACTTGGGAATTCTGGTGCAGAAGGAATTCCCGGTGCTGTGGAATCACCAGAATGCAGAGATGAATGTGCAGCTAATGTCCATAAGCGACAAATTGGCACTAGTGAGTTAGATTTGTCAAGCTCAGCATATACTAACATTTCTACAGGATCTGCAGATGTACTTACCTCTGCAAATTGTATGGACAGTACTATAAGTACATATAGCTTAGATTCCAATCCTGTTGAAGCTACGGTTAGTTGTATTGGGTGGCTTGATGTTGGCTTACAGCATGCTAGAGATAAAGTTAGTATTTTGCACAGGAGCAGTTCAAATGATACCTTTCCTGGGGTGAGTGCTAGTGCAGATGAAAAGTCTCCAGAGAAGAAAGGGAAAATCTCTACGTCCTTTCCTAGTGTGACAGCACCTGTAATCAGCCGGGGAGTAGAAGTTTCTGATATCTCTAAATCTTCTGCACAACTACCTTCCAATTTTACAAATGATCTATTGCAATTGGAACAGGAAGTTACAGATGGTCTCAATACACAAGAGATTGAGTTCTTGTGTGTAAATGGCTCAGTGGCTGGACCTTCGCAGGCTGTTGGCTCTTATAGTGATGCCGGCAGGGATGATCATCCAATCATTGATCCTTGTTCAGCTTTTGTTGAGTCAGTTGCTCCAAGTTCCACATGCCTTCATCTGGTAAAGTTGGGAGGTGATCAGTTATCAACGGCAACACCAGTTTTTGCTGTAAATAACCATCAAATTGATGCCATGGATATTGAAGGTGATCACAGGGGAAAAGTGCATGTGGATACTGCAGAAGAGCAAAAAATCATTTCTAGTGAGGTAACTCAATGCAGAGTTTTTCCAGAAGATAAGTCTTCCCGCTTTGATCAGAGGTTGCCTAGCACAGATGTGGAAGATGATAATCCTCTTCCCCTGAAGGTTGATTTACCTTCTGCATCGAAATCTTTGGTTTTTGGAATTGATGCCAATGAAGCTTCTGCTGCCTACTCTAATGATGCAGTGATGGCTGCACCTGATATATCATATGATTTGGTTTCTCCCTGTAACCGTGATAACCCAGTTATAAGCACATCAACTTACAAAGCACATCTAAACTCAGAAGAGAAGGCTTATGGTGATGAAAAACTTTCAGATGATAAGCCTATGATTGAAGGTGCTTGCAGTTCATCTGTCCTTGTGTCATATTCACAGCAGAGCAAAACTATTCTGAAGTCAAATGATGCAATTCAAACCAATCAATCAGTTGCTGGCAAGGCAGGATTGTTGCCATCACATGATTCCAGAAATACTAATTCCCCCAATTTCCTTAGTGGAGAAACACATGGGAGGAGAGACCAGCTTAGTCATGTTGTTCCCAAGAGTTATCCTACTCGCTCATCTATTGTTTTTTCTGCTTCCAAGAATTCAACATCTTCTACCAATATCACAAATCTCCAGACATGGCATCGAACCAATAATTCTTCTGCCTATCCTCTATCAGGAAACAAACATTCCTTAAGTGCCAATCCTTTGCAAAGGCATATTCCAAAAATGGCTGCACATTTTCGAAGCACTTCTTACATTCGTAAAGGTAACAGTCTTGTTAGAAAAGCTGTTTCAGTTCCTGCTCCTCCCCAGGGTTCTCATTCTTTGAGTTCATCTGTTTACCGGCTGAACTCTGGGGTTGTGGATGAAGTGAAGAAGGGGGCAGGACCCAAAAGTTCTGCTGATGCTGTTGATTTGAGAACAGGTCGTGCAAATAGCTCTCTTGAAAGGCCCTCAACACCCCCCTTATTCAGTGTCACGAAAGCACCGAAGCATACTTCAAACTCATCAGGAGAGTGTACATCTTCGCCACTGGCAGAGCCCTCTATTAGTGATTGCTGTGAAACGACAACATATCATCCAAGTTCTATGGAAATTAATGATGTGCTTAATTCACCAGAGGATGGACTGAATACTTCTGAAACTCTAAATCAAAATGGTTCAGTTAACAATTTGGAAGACTGGACTGAGCAAAATGAAAATGACTTGGTTCCTCCAAATGCAAAGATGGTAACATGTGTAAAGCCAAAATCAAATCAATTGGTTGCAACTTCAGATTGTTATCGTACCTCTATTCTCAATGCTGATAAGAACTCCTTTTCTGCTTCCTCTGATGGCTACTATAAGAAAAGAAAAAACCAGCTAATTAGGACTGCCCTTAAGAGTCATATCAAGCAGGCAGTTACCATGTCTGATGACGAATCCAACTCAGTGGTACGAATGACTGCTAAAGTTATTTCGAGTAGAACTTTTGGTATGAGGCGATCTAATAAAGGTATACATTCATGAATATTTGATTAGCAGAATCTTTTATTTTTCATATTCAGCAATTATGTTTTTTGTTTCATGTGCATTTTATCGAGCACTAAAATCACTACATTGAGTTTTGTGCTTTTAAACATTTCTTGGCTTTTTATGACTTATTTTGCTTAATTTTATCCATGAAGCATGAAAATGACTTGTCTTCTTTCATCTTTATTCTCCTCTACGTCTCTGTTAGCTGTAATGTTTTGGTTTATTTTCTACAGCACTTGCAATAGTGGGCTGTTTTCACTTTTCCAATGCTATGGGAGTTGTATAGAACTGGTGCTAACCATATCTTTAGACAAATGACTACTTGTGTGTTGTAATTTATGCACTGACAATCATGAGAGATGACCACCTCAAAAAACTATTTTTATAACCGGCTTTTTATGCTAATTTTTAATGTTATTTTTCTCTCACCAATTCTATGTTGCCAATATTTGTTTTTGTCAAATTTAATATTTTAGTTCCCCATTCCCTCCCCTACCAAGATTTTTCCTCAGTGACACAATGGTGTGAGCTAGCGTTAATAGTCAAGGACTTAGGCTACCTCTGCCAACATGTCAAGTCTCAAGTACACATTTCTATCAATTATGAACTGTCTTTTTAAGCAATTTGTATTACATTATCATTATTAGTTGTAGCTAGTTATTTGTATTTTAGCGCCATCCCTAAATGTTTATATTGACAATCAACCTCAATGTATTAAAGTACTTAGTCCAATGGATGGTTGTGGAAATTGGTTGCAGCGAGTTTAATTGGTGTGATCATTAGTTAGGGGGTCACTTAAATGACTAGTCTTTTTGCAGTTGTAGTGAAGACCAATAAACCTTCCAAATTCTCTCTGGTCTGGGCTCTGCATAATGCACGGTTATCAAATAATGATGGCAATTCACAAAGTCATCCAAAAGTCCTTCCACAACTGTTTCCCTGGAAAAGAATGACATACAAGAGAAGCTTTAAGTTAAACTCAGTTTCTTCGTGCTGTAGTTCTTTATCTACAATTGGGTATAATTTTTGTTTAGTAGCTTCTTGTTTTAAATATGCACTTGTTGTCCAAAAAATAATAAAGTACTTTTCTTGTAGACGGAAAATGTTGCTATTGAGAAAGAGAAATACATTTTATACCAGGTCAACTAATGGATATTCAATTCGGAAATCAAAGGTATTAAGTGTTGGCAGTTCTAGTTTGAAATGGTCAAAATCTATTGAAAGGCATTTGAGGAAAGCTAATGAGGTAGGGTGTATCTTTTACTAGTGGACCAAATTTTTATCTTTCGTATTCGCTTCAAAACCGAAGTGATGCTAGAATTCTTGTTTAAAATGGCTTTTTTGTTCTTAAAAATTTATATTACTGTTTAATAGGAAGCTACACTAGCAATTGCTGAAGCAGAAAGAAAGAAAAGAGAACAAAATGGCACTCTTTCTGGGAAAGGCAAAAGAAGTCACTCTTGCCATAAAGTTGTTCATGGTACAGAAGTTCAGCCAGGTAGGCTAATTAACAAGCTTGGTCTGTTACTTGACTGAGTTTTCTTTGGACTTTGTGAAGGAATGGCATTCTATCTAATGTGTGTGATGTATGGTTTTGAAAAGAATCCTTCTGTGATGTGTTTCATGTAAATACTTGATACCATAGGAGAACGTATATTCCGCATTGGTTCAGTGCGCTACAAAATGGATTCTTCTAGGCGTTCCCTTCAGAGGATATCAGGTGACACTTGATTTATCTCATTGTGTTTTTTAGGTCCCTTGTTTAATGTTTTCTTTAACTCCAAAAGTGTACGTGGAAGTAAAGCTAATAGAAACTGAACGCATATTGGCAGATGTTATTGGAATAGCTTTGCTTCCTATTTAATGCAACTTTCTGTTTCTTGTGGTGTGACTATATTTACGTTTATGATAGACTACATGGATGATTCATTTATTGTTTTGAGATTGCTGTAACTTTGTTGGTATCACAAATAATACTATTTTCTTTTTCTCTGAGTAAAACCATATGCTTTTCTGAATTCCATCATCTGGGTTCCAACAAGTTTAGGTAGTGTTTGGTTTCAGAAAATAGTCATTTTCTGTTTTCATTTTTCCAAGAAAATGAAAAATATAAGTGAAAACGTGTTTGATAATTAAAAATGAAAGCAAGTTTTTAGAAAACAAAAATGAAAATGGTTTGAAATATGAAAATAAAATAAAAAAAAAGAGATGTTTTCAATTGTAAAAACAAGGGATGTACATTACTTTTTTCCTTACGTTTTGCAAGTTATCATATTTAAACACTTTTTAATATCATTAATTAATAAATATATGTTATATTTATAATTAAATGACATTAATAGTAATATTATTGAATATTTTATTTATTTCCTTATTTTTGCATTTTAGAAAATAATTTTTATTTTCATTTACCAAATACATTTTTTAGAAAAAAAAAAAACTATTTTCTAGAAAATGAAAATAAAAAATAAAAACAAAAAACATTTTTTCAAACCAAACGGAACCTTAATTTGGAAGTAAGATGAAAATGGAGAGATTGTAGGTAAAGCTTCTAAGGTGTGAGTTCTCATTTTTTAACTTTGGGAAGCATAGTTGCTTCTAATGCTTCAGAGACTATTTTTTATGCTTACTGTTCTTTGATTTCCAGCACTGCTTACTTAATCCAAAACTCTAGCTTGGTAAAAGATGAATTAAAGTGCCATGTTTTTCAAATGAAAGTTATATATGCTTATCTGATTGTGAAATGATGAGCAAGAGACTGTTTGTGTTGGGTTTGCTTGTACCATAAATGAAGAAGCATCAGATTTCTTGCTGACTAAGTTGATGGAATACAACCACATTCTTATGGAGCAAGGCTTGGCTATTACTGTATTAAAGAGCCTTGTTTGGTTGACTGGTTAACGCTTCACTTCATGGGACTCATCACAAAACTTTTAGATATTTTATTGCAGAAACAAGATTTTGGCGTAAATAACTTTCTTCTATTAGTTTCTGATCAGCACCTATTGTCTGAACTGATGCTGTTTCTCTTTTTTCCTTTTTTAAGTGTTTCTATTGTTCTCATAACTCTAGTTACTTTCTGTTTAGATGACGAGTCGTCATGCTCTGCTGGTCACCTATCAGAAAGGAGTACCAAAAAATCTTATATCCCAAGGAGATTAGTGATCGGGAATGATGAGTATGTTAATGTTACCATATCATAAAATGTGATTTCTATGGAATTATCTACAATGGGTAAAAGTAAAACAAACTCTGACATCTGCAGGTATGTTCGAATTGGCAATGGCAACAAGCTTGTTAGAGATCCCAAGAAGTGGACTCGTGTTTTGGCAAGTGAGAAAGTTCGGTGGAGTTTGCACACTGCCAGGTTGCGATTGGTTAAAAAGCGGAAGTACTGTCAGTTTTTCACAAGATTCGGGAAGTGCAACAAAGATGATGGAAAGTGTCCCTATATTCATGATCCCTCCAAAATTGCTGTATGCACGAAATTTCTCAAGGGTCTATGTTCTAATCCCAACTGCAAATTGACTCATAAGGTTCAGCAGTTATCTGGTTGATTTGACATTCTGCTGGAGATTGACTTCTATGGTTAACATATGACCTTTGATTGGATTTTTGTGCAGGTCATTCCGGAAAGAATGCCCGATTGTTCATATTTTTTGCGAGGTGTTCTTTTCTAGATTGTGTTTTTCATTTTTCTAATTGTATGACTGCAGAATTCTGACTAAATTACTGGCAGGTTTGTGCACAAATGAAAGTTGTCCTTATAGACATGTACATGTCAACCCAAATGCCTCTACTTGCGAAGGATTCCTTAGGGGTTATTGTGCTGATGGTAACGAGGTAGTGCCTTATCATTTTGAAAATACTATTTTAGCTCTTTGTTTTGCATTTTATGCTATCCCTGTTTAATATCATGTTATGGAGACATCTTTGTCTTGCATTCATTTGGTTGGTTCATACTGGTCTTAATAATTAATACTTTTGGAACATTGTGAAAATTAACTTTTAAGAAATAAGGTAACATTTTATTCCGAACTTTTGGAAAGAAAAGAAAATCTTTCACTTCTTATACCCTCTGACCTTAATTTCTGCAAACTTTCATAACTAGATTTTGTTTACTGTTGCACTGATATCTACTCTATTTTGATTCACGTTTTTTTTTCTTGTGAGAAACGATGACATTACTTGAATAGTCTAATGGTATGCTGTTTTCATTTCATTTTTTTTTTTTTTTGTATGGATTTACTTGAATTCTCTTGGAAAGTACTTGAAGAGGCAGTTAGAAATTATGATTATAAATTCAACACTGTTGAACTTTTTTTTTTTTCCTAAACCTATGTATATTCCTTTGGCTAAAAAATATATATTTTTCCTCTGCCTGTTCCTGGGAGGAATTCCAATTCTGCAAGTAATACACACACAAACCGATGATCATCTATTGTTTTAGATTTTCTATTAGCTACTCTCTTCTCTGATGCACACACAAATCACACTAACATTGAATAAGTGAAAATAGAATGTATTTCTGCTCTCAGTGTCAGAAGAAGCACAGCTATGTCTGTCCCAATTTTGAAGCAACAGGTTCCTGCCCTCAAGGATCTAAATGCAAGCTTCACCACCCCAAAACCCGAAGCAAGGGAAAGAAAAGCAAAAGGTCAATGGAGCATAAGAATGCTCGTGGGCGTTACTTTCGTATTGACATTTCGGAACCAAAAAGAATTTCTGAAAGACACCAGCCACTAGATGATGACAACATTTTCTTTGATGGGAAATTCTCTGATTACATTAGCCTCGATGTTATTGATGATGATGACAATGATGATAAAGCTGGGGAACTTCATCGAGTGATTTCTGATCAAACAACCTTTGGTGATAGTGATTCCTCGGATTTACGATTAGATGATCTCGATGAATCAATCAAACCTATTCTTATAATGAATAAGATTACAGAATCATTGATGGTTAGCAAAGCTTCTAGTGTTAAGCATGTGGCCTTACAAAAGAGGAACTGAATATTCTGTACAGAAGGGGACGAATTTTTATATGTTTTGGCTTTCTGCTACTGCAGAATTATTTAGCATGCATAGGGTTTTTTTTTTTTTTTTTTACATGTCCATTTTTCTTTTGGTTTAAAATTTCCTATTTTACAGCACACCTATGTGTCGTGTTCCTGGTAACAGAACATATATTTAAAAATAAAATGAGATATTACACAAGTTTTAAGATTATTCGAGTTGAGTACACATATTTTTCGTTATCATTTCCTCTTTCGTGCGAGTAGGGAACTTTTGTGTGAGGATAATTTTTACGTTGAGATGTATTTACGGTAAAGTGATTGCCCGAAGGCCAATTATCCAATTGATGGCCAGCAATTTTCCTTGTCTCTCCACCACATTCAAACGCACGCTCAACCCAACCCCCAATAAAAACCAAAAAAAAAAAAAAAGCCTTATCCACAAAACCAATGGATCAAATTTACAAACCTAGGATGAATTTAAAAGAAACAGGGGTCCTTAAATGCAATTTTCTGAAAAAGAAAATACATAAAAAAGTATTGAGAAAGTTGAGAGTAAAATCCACTCATCCTTCAAGATTTCAAACATGGCTGCAACTTCCTCTTACATGGCTTGCACCAAATTCTCCATGTTGGGTTGGGGTGGAGGAAAGAGAGATTTGAGAAAGAGAAGGGTGTTTTCAGTTTCAGCTCAGCAGCAAGCTGAAGTAGGTGAAGCACAACAAACAAAAGAAGCAAAAGTGCAAGAAGAGCAAGAAAAGGTGAAGCCACAACCTACACAACCAAGGCCAGTGGAACCACAACTGAATGTAAAGAGCAAAAACATGAGCAGAGAATATGGAGGGCAGTGGCTCAGCAGCGTCACGCGGCATGTCAGAATCTATGCTGCCTACATTGATCCAGAGACCTCCGAGTTCGATCAAACACAGATGGATAAACTCACCCTTATACTTGACCCCACTGATGAGTTTGTCTGGACTCCTGAAACTTGCAACCAAGTTTATTCATACTTCCAAGAGCTTGTGGATCACTATGAGGTAACCCACTTTTCTTTTTAATGTTCTGGTTGAGATTTATTTGTAAATGCTAAATAGAAGCTATCTAAGTATTGGCATTGCATTCAAGTCAGTCCAGATCAGCCTATCCATTTCAAAAATGAAAATATAAGCTCAAGGTTTCAATCTGATTCTATAATTTAAGGTTAGATGGATCATAAATAACAGCCTTTCCCAAATTCTTTATTTTTTTTTTCTAGTACTTAATGTTGAGGTTACCAAGATTTGAACCATGATCCTTGAAATCTGCCAACAGTTCATGGAACTGTTGGTAGCCATTCCATTTCATTAGCATATTGAAGTCCTGCTTTAAAGAGAAGTAACGTATGATATTCAAGCAGGGTGCACCATTGACAGAGTACACGCTTCGTTTGATTGGTTCAGACATAGAGCACTACATCAGGAAGCTACTATATGATGGAGAAATTAAATACAACATGCATGCCAAGGTACTGAACTTCAGTATGGGTAAGCCCCGCATTCTATACAATAACAACGATGGCCAGTTTCAAGATGTACAATGATATGATTCTCACAAAATGGCTAGCAAAAGAGCACAGACAGATGGCCACATATTTAGTATCAGTTTAAAAGGCATCACAATTCACAATGTAGCATCAAGCCCAAAATCTTTGGCCACCAAAACTTGTATCTTCAGCAGAGAAGCTTGATGCATACGTTCGTTACCTGTCAAAATCTTTGCAAGTGAGCTCTTATACATGTGTACCCAATGCTACAGCTGCATCTGTCAACATTTGCTTTATAATACTTAGATATATTGATCTCAATTCAGATAAAATCTCTGGTCATCCCAAAGCATTCAGATACAACGCGTCCAACCAAGGCTGAAAAGCACCTTCATGAGCAGTATTCTGACAAAATATTCACAACTTTACATTTAGAAGATTTGCTCAAAAAGAGAAAATGCTCGTTTATTCCATTTGCACCAAGCAGCCATGTCAGACATAGCGGTCAAAATCTCTGCTAAGATGCACCAATGATATAAAACACTCACCTCCAACCAAAAGAAAAATCCACGTAAGAGATATAAAATTTTTTGCCGGTCATGCCTGAATTCATCAATTTTCATTCTCAGTTCTGCAAAAGTAACAAAATGAACATTAAAGCTAACATTGTTTGAGAATTTCATTTAAACTGTATGAAGGCTGAATAAAAACTGAAGCTACAGAAGGAAACACTTAACAAGCTCAATAAGTTATGCTCAACAAAAACCATGGAACCAAAGCAAAATAATCTTGCAAAATCTGAAGCGAAAAAGAAAAGGTAGGAAGAACCACTCAAATCACTTGCAAAAACAATCTCTTTGATGAGAGCTGCATTTTGAGGATTACAAGATAGCAATCTTATAAAAGTAAACATAATATTGTATTACAAGGCAGTGGAATAACAACAAAAAATAAAATAAAATAAAATAAAAAAAACAGAGGTTGAGGAGAATAGAGTTTATTGAACATAATTTGAGAGTCCAGGAATCATCTAGCACCCAGTAACATTAATAAACCAGGACACGACATACTCATTTTAGAAAAGTAATAGGATAAAAATTTGGGCATCAGTCTTTGTTTGCGAGATTTTGTTTCTTGTGTGGAAAAAAGCCATAGGGTCATTTTGATAGAACTGCACTACCTATAACGAATTCTTCTAGGCAGTGGCGATGGTCTCAGTTACTAACGTACATAATGAACATAATTTACATATTTATAATAAAAAGCACATCAACAAATTTGGAGAAAAAAAACTTACCTTCATACCAATCAAGGTATGATTTTCCATTAGTTTTGGTTGAATATGATTTCATTCGTCCATAACGCAATTCTTTAACACGCTGAACTGGTTTTCTGCAAGTTACTTCTCGCCAAAGATTTTCAAACTCCTGTCGATCATAAGGAATTTTAAGAAGATCCATAAGCTTCTCCCTGAACTGAGACTGGCTAGAAGTTCTGATGCCATCCCAACTCTCTTCACCATGCTTTTTTTTTTTTTGGCAACAAGCACATAGAACCAGAAAAGAACAGTAAGAGAATCAGCAACATACAAAATTGAAAAATATACTAGAAAACCCTTTCAAGAACCTCCAGGTGGGGTTAGAACCTATAAAACTAACTTGGCCTAGATGTATCTCCTGTTAAGTTTGTTTTAATTTTTCTGCTTCAGCAAAAAATAAAGGAAATAGAAAATCAGAACAGAAGCAATTTACAGAGTTGCAAAGGAAATATGAATACCAATGATTGATAGCATTTTGATGGAACAAATGGTGAAATATCTCCTTCATGAAAAGGCATATTATCCAATACAAATATCTCTAAATCAGAACAACTTCCATCATTTTTCAGATGTATACTTGTGTGATCACTTTCATAGCTCAGTTCCATATTCTTGCCAGGCTTTTCCAGAGAATCCATCATAACCCAATTCATCTTCTTAGAAGGTTCTCCACTTGATTTATAAGGAACAGAATCAACATCAGCTTCCTCTTTTACTTCCTTCTCATCAACTGGACTCTTTCTTTCCTCACCAGGAACATCTCTTAGTTTATTCTTACTTCCCTCATTTCCAATCTCTGAAGTCTTCTTCACAGTTTTCGGTGTCTCAGTGTCTGCCTTCCTCGAAAAACCACCTAAATTTTCTGGATCCTTAACCTTCACTCTTTTCGAATGACTCTTAAAATTTCTCTTTCTATCCACATTCCCGGAGGACCCTTCTTCCTTTTCCTCGTACTTAAGTATAAGCGAGATGCCAGAACTCATTGGAATTTCAACCAAGTATGATTCCCCATCCTCATCCTCTTTTATATTCTCATAAAAAATCTTATATTCAGGATCGTTCTTCATGTCTTCCTCATCATCATCATCATGGAGATAACCAAACTGCTCTGGATCGCTCAAAAACATTTCATACCTCGAATATTCTTCCATGTCAATTTCCTTACAATTTTCGATAATTTCCTTTTCACCTCCCTTACTATTACTGCCATAACTAGGCCTAAAACTTTCCAACATGCCACAATTTTTCAGACTATCAAGCCTTAAATCCTCCAACATCTCAGCAACTTCATCATAACATGTAACATTCTTAAGCTTCCCCATTATAACAAAACAAAATTAAAAAACTAAAAGAAAAAAAAAAAAAAAAAAAACCTTTCTTTTTTGCTCTCAGTTTTCTAACCATTAACCTTACAGTACCTGCATTATTAAAAAAAACAAAAAAAAAAAAAACAAAATTAGGCCATGAATTATGCTATAAGAACCAAATAAGTAAAATTTTTATTTCCAAACCAAAAAAAGAAACCCTGTTTTCGTTTTAAAAAAATGGTAAGAATTAATGGAGACAATTTTACGTTTAAGAAAAAAAAAAAGAAAACATGCAACAACAGACTTTGTAATGCGGCTTAATTTCCTGTCTTGTTTTGTTACGTTTTCACGGAAGCCAAAAAGAGTTCGCGAAACGGAAAAGCTTACCGGAAAATCTGAACTTATGCGAGAATCAGAGAGTGAGGGTTTCTTCTTTTATTTATTTTTGATTGATTTTCTTTTCTCGTTTTCCTTGAGCTGACAGCTGCGCTGAGTAGAGCAGAGAAAGGCAAACTGAGAATAAGTTGGGTTGTTTTGGGCAGGATTTTTTTCAAATGGGCTTAGCCCACTTTGTTTGGAGCATTAGAATAAATAATTGGGCTTTACTTTTGGCCCAAAATGTTGGGCCATGTCGTCCAGAAAAAGGCTATAAATGACGCGTAAAGATTCTCGAAGGAGAAATTCTTGCGATTGGGAAGCATATGCTTACGTCTTTTTTTTTTTAATTCATTAAAAGTTTTGCTAACGATAATTTTTTTAAAAAAAATATCGGTACGTATAATGCAAATGATACACATAAATCATAGTATTGACATTTGTATAGTTACAAACTATAAAGTTGTTTTATCTCATATTTTTAGAATTTAAATCATTTAGCACATCTTTTACTTAAAATAATTATCATGTTAGTACCACTTAATAACATATGATTATCTGATGATGATGAACAAATAAAAATAAAAATAAAAAATCATTAAAAAAAGGGATAAATGGAAAATCATTAATTGCCAAAATCTTAGTGGGTGAGGTCCTATACATGTGTGCTGTCAATGCTACAGCTGCATCTGCTGTCCACTTTTGCTTCATAATATTGATCTCAATTCAGATAAAACCCTTAGTTATCCCAAAGCATTCAAATACAACGAGTCCAACCATGGCTGAAATGCACCTTCATGAGCAGTATTCTGACAAAATATACACAACTTTAAATTTAGAAGCTTTGCTCAAAAAGAAATACTTAGAAAACACCAGTTTATGCCATTTGCAACAAGCAACCATGTGCGCATTGGCATGTGAAAGCTTCTGCTTCATGACAAAAAATTGTTTCAATTTCATAAATCTAGCTTCAAAAACAAAACAATACAAAAAAAAATTGACGGTGCACTTAATAAAGCCAGTCCATGTTTAAGTAAATTGGTGTTTCATATACAACCTACTCCATTAAAGTGTTTTTTAAGTGATTCTAATTTATCTAAGAACATAAATTTTTAATCTTAATTCAAGACAACTTTAAAATGGGATGAAATTGCATTATGCCCTCCATTATTTCATCCTTATTAACCCTGAATAAAGAGGCAAATGGAGATTACCTCTCCGGTCTAGCTAACCTCCTTCAAGCTATTTATTAATCCAGTGTATCCTCTTCATTGAATGACAATTCCATTAAACTAGGTTGATCAAAAACACAAAGATGTGCATTTTTCCCTGTTTCACCAGCTCTGGCTTTGCTAGGAATATATATATATATATATATATATATATATATATATATATATATATATCTCAGCATCTAAGAGGCCTTGGGCAAGATGAAAATGAAGGAACATGAGAAGATACGGCAATAATATAAAATACTCACCTCCAACCAAAAGAAAAAACCACGTAAGAGATATAAAATTTTCCGTCGATCACGCCCGAATTCATCAACTTTCCCTCTTAGTTCTGCAAGAGTAACAAAATGAATATTAAACTGTATGAGTGCTGCATAAATTGAAACTACAGAAGGAAACGGTTAACAAGCTCAATAAGATCTGCTCAATCATTGAACATAATTTGAGATTACAGATCATCTAGCACTCAGTAATATTACCAAACCAGGAGATGACATATTCATTTTTGACAAGTAATAGGATACTGAAAGTAAAAATTTTAGGCATCAGTCTTGCTTGCAAGATTTTTTTTCCAGTGCAAAAGTATAATAAGATCATTTTGATGGAACTACAAGACTTATAACAAATACTTAAGACGAAACAATGGTCTCATTTACTAATGTATATTATTAGCACAATGTACATATTTATGATAAAGAAAAACACATCAACAAATTTAGAGAAAACGCACCCACCTTCATACCAATCAAGGTATGATTTTCCATTAGTTTTGGTTGAATATGCTTTCATTCGTCCATGACGTAACTCTTTAACACCCTGCACTGGTTTTTTGTAACTTACTGCTTGCCAAAGATTTTCAAACTCGTTTGGGTCATAAGGAATTTTAAGAAGATCCATAAGCTTCTTCCTAAATTGAGCCCGACTAGAAGTTCTGATGCCATCCCAACTCTCTTCACCATCCTTTTTTTTTTTTTGCAACAAGCACATAGAACCAGAAAAGAACAGTAAAAGAATCAGCAACATACAAATTTGAAGAAAAAAATTGTAATAAAAAACCCTTCAAAGAACCTCCGCATGGGTTTAGAAACTAAAAAATTGTCTAGGCCTAGATGTACGTCCGGTTAAGTTTGTTTTAGTTTTTCCACCCCTTAGAAAATAAATAAAAGAAAAAAATAAGAACGGATGCAATATAGAGAATAGCAAAGAAAATATGTATACCAATGATTGATAGCATTTTGATGGTACAAATGGTGTATTATCTCCTTCATGAAAGGAACGTTATCCAATGCAAGTATCTCCAAATCAGAACAACTTTCATCATCATTCCCATTTATATTTGTGTCATCACTTTCATTGAATCCAGAATCCAGAAGCACCATGAAAGCTTTCATCTATCATATCACAATTCATCTTCTTAAAAGGTTCTCCACTTGATTTACAATAAACAGAATAATCATCGGCTTCCCCATTTACTTTGATCTCATCGACTGGACTCTTTCTTTCCTCACTAGGAACATCTCTTACTTTATTCTTATTTCTCGCAGTTCCAATCTCCAAAGATTTCTTCAAAGTTCTAGGCGTCTTAGTCTTTGCTTTCCTCAAAAAACCACCCGAATTCTGAGGAACCAAAGCCTTAACTCTTCTGGAATCACTCTTCAAATTTCTCTTTCTTTCCCCATTCTGAAATGGCCCTTCTTCTTCTTCTTCGTTCCTGAATATTTCCAAGGCACCAGAACTAAATGGAAGTTCAACTGAGAATAATTGCTGTATCCCATCCTCTTCTAAATTCTCCACAAAGATATCATAGTCATGTTCTAAACTACTCAAAAACGTTTCATAATCCGAATCCCTCATATCTTCCTCCATGTCCGGTTCATTACAATGTTTATTAATATCCTTCTCATCTCCCTTACTATTACTACTACCATATCTAGGTCTAAAACTTTCCCACATGCTGCACTTTTTCTTCAAAGCCCTATCAAACCTTAAATCCTGCAACACACCAGCTACTTCCTCATGAAAATTAACCTTCTTTACTTTCCCTATTAAAACAAAACAAAATTAAAAAACTATAAAAAAAAAATAAAGAACCTATCTTTTTTTGCTCTCAGTATTCTACCAATCAATCATACAGTTCCTGCGTATAAAAAAAAAAAAAAACAGAAAAGAAAAACTGAAATTAGATCATGGTGCTATGAGAACCAAATAATGCAATATTTTATATCCAAACATAAAAGAAACCCTTTTTTCCGTTCAATAAAACTGCCACGAAGGAGTTAATTGAGAAAATTTTCTGTTTAAGAAAAAAAAAATACAAGAATGCGGCTTAAAAAAATTACAAGAACAGTCATTGTAATGCGGCTTACTTTTCTTTCTGTTTTTACTACGCCGTAAAATCCGAAATTAAACGAGAGTCGGACAGTTGGAGAGGGTTTTTTTTTTTTTTCTCGATTTCCCTGAATGCCAGTGGCTGGGCTTTTATTTTTTCATAGACAGCTGAGTTGAGTAAGGAGTTGAGGCTGGGTTTTTATATTTCAAAAATAAAATAAAAAAACCATTGGAACAAAGAATTGGGTTTACCCCTTGATCGCAAATTTCGGCCCATCTATTTTAAATATATATAATAAATTGAAATGAAAAGGTTCTTTAAGGACTGAGATTCCAAGAATGCGCTTTGAGGTTGGGAAGCATATGCTCACCTTTTCTAAAGTTTTCCCTTTTAAAGTTGACGAAAGTTTGGATTCTTGTTCTTTCGTTTATGTAACAAAAGCTTATGATTTTTATTGTCTGCCACGTGTTTTTGATTTATTACTAACTTTTTTATAGTAACAGGGAGTGTTGATTACACTACAATCTATCAATTTCAGTCACACGATATGGTGGTTACATTGATAGCCGTTTGATTTAAAATTAAGCTGAGGCAAGAAATATTACTTGCAACCGGGAACTGGATATGGATGGTTTCCAATAAATCCATAAATCCTAAATAAATTTATAAATTCTAATTTAAGAGTATATTTGGATGAAAATTTTAAAATTTTAAAATAATTTTTTTTAAAATGCATCATTTTAAAATATTAGTATTTATAATTATTTTGATTAGATAAATATTAAAAATTTTAATCTATTGAAATTTGATTAGATAAAAATAATTATAAAAGAAAAAATTATGATATTAAAAACAAAAAATATATGTATAAATCAAATATGCAATATAAATATCATTATATTTGTAAAAATATATTGATATTATTAATAATATAAAAGTAAAAAATTTATATTAAAGTTAAATAAAATAATAGTTTATTTTTTGAGCTTTTATTTTATGATGAGCCATTTGCATTAAAAAGACAAAAGATTTGAAAAACTATCTTTTTAGGTGAAATTTTAAAAAGAAATTTGAGTATCTCAAATTTTCTCTTTAATTCTACTTAAATTTTAAATTTTTTATTTTTATCCAAACAAATAAATTTATTTTTAAAATTTAAAAACCTTAATTGAAATATTTTTTTTTCCAAATGTCCCATCTAAACACACCCTAAACATTAAACTTATTACATTATATAAATTGGTATGAATAACTTTCCTTTTAACATTGTTTTTCTTTTTTTTTTTTTTTACATTTTCTAATTATCTACTATTCAACGTTTCAAGTGAATATATTTAATCAAATTTAATTAAACAATTTAATATTATGTTAAGTCAATTTTTGTTGTGCAAATATCTAAATGTTATAAAATCCCTAATCAATTGTTATATATATATATATATATATATATTCCGAAGATGAAATGCACATCACATAAAAATTAATTAAAATTTCATATATATATGACTAAGTATGATAAGATAATATAAAATTTACAATTTCACTATTAAATAAGGATCCAAAGAATTGATGAATTTAAAAATAATCATAAAAGTTTATATTGTCTTGTGTTTTGTCTACCATTTATATTAAATTTAAAATCTTTTTTTTTTAATTTAAGTTTCAGAGAAAAAAAAAAAAAGAATTCCTTAGTCCAGTAGACTTAAATTTCCACTGCTAAGCCTAGAAATCAAGGCACATGGATTTTAAGACGATGAAATAATATTTCAATGAAAAACGATCAAATAATGATTTATGTTTTTATATTTAAAATAGAAATACTAAAATATTTATAAAAAAATGTTGATATGAATTTTGATACGAAAAATAAAAATCTTTACTAGTAACATACATAATTATATACAACAAATTTATATTTATCTCAATATTTTAGAATTTAAATCATTTAGCACCTCTAATTCAAAATAATTTTCGTCTTAGTAGGATCGGATAACATATTGTGAGTTGTGAGCATTGGAAAAAAAATTTTTCAATTTATTACACATAGCTATCTATATTTTGTTTCTAGAGAGATAGCTCTCTAGTTTTTAATTAAATGAAATAGTTGTATTTTATAATCATCTTTTTTGCAATATACAAGATCTGTTTGGTTTGATTAAAGTTTTATAAGAAATATTATATGATTAGAACTGTTTCAAAAGTATTATAAAAAAAGTTAAAATAGTGTTTGATAAATTTAATATAAAATATGTGATAATATTTTTATATTTTTAATAAATAAAAAACAAAATAATCAACTTTTTTTATAAAATAAAATAAAATAATCAACTTTATTAAATCAAATCATAGGTTTCATGTTAAAAAAAAGTAAAATAAAAAGAATCATTTTTGTTTTATTATTATAAAAATAAAATTAATAGAAAATGTAGACAAAGTACAAATGAAATAATATAAATTTTTTTATAATTTTGTGAACTATTGAAGAATAAAATGAAAATGTAAAAAAAATCATTAATTACTTATTATTAAAAATAATACTTCTTTAAAAAATTTTAATTTATAATTTTGTCTCAAATGTACTTTTACATAAAATTAAATTCTTAAAATTTCAAGAGTTAAACACTTGATTTTTACTTTTATAGTAGATGAGATCTTTCATAATTTGTGTCAAATATGAGTTCTTTAATAGGTAGGGGTAGCAAAATTTTCTTTTTATTTTTTGAGTAAAAATAAAGAGATAATAATCAAATTTATGATTTAACTAAATTGGGATTTCAAATTTATCATTCTTTATTAAAAAAAATTAGTAAAAAAATATTTTTTATTTCGTAGTTGAACGACATCCTTTTTAATTTGATTATTATTGCTGATGTTTTACCACCTAATAATGAAAATGGTGCCCCATAACTTTGAACGGGTTTTTTTTTTTTTTTTTAAACTATATATTTGGGTATATGATCATATGATGATGAACAAATAAAAAAAGAAAAAAAATGGAAAATCAGTTGGCGCCCGTGTAATTGGTGAGTGGGCGCAAATAAACTAACGGTTGGTAACCGGTAGTATCCGGTAATCGGTCACATCATTGGAGGCGACATTCTCTCCATGATCTTCTTCTCGGTTCTTTCTCTCTCCTTCACTTAAAATTCACATAATAAGTTCCGTTTTGGACTCTTTTTAACGTAAAATTCTTCTCAACCTTCTTCTTCATCTTCACTCCTTTTCCCATTTTTTATTCTAAAAAACACAATTCTGGTGATAATGGCTTTGGCGACGGCTGATTCAGCGGCGGAAATTCTCTCCAACCTTAACATCAACGCCGGAGATTGGCCTCCTAATCTTGTCAAGAATCTCCACCTCCTGCCTGCGGATCAGGTCTTGCATGTCCCCAATTCCTTACTTTTTTTTTCCAAAAAAAAAAATTGCCGTATACGTATAGATGTAAGAATATGTGAATTTTCTGCTCTGTTCTTTTGTTTTGTCAGATTGAATTGGCAAAGATGTTGTCGGAGATGGGGCAGAGCCATTTGTTTCAGCATTGGGCAGAGCCTGGCGTGGAGGACGACCAAAAGAAAGCCTTTTTTGCTCAGGTCTCTTTTTTTTTTTCTTCTTCTTCTTCTTTTTAAGCAATGGAATTCTACAGTATTCTACTATGATTTAATTGTTTTTTTTTTAATTAATCATCAATTTTTTATTTATTTTTAGTAAATGCACTAAAATCATGAATGAAAAATAAAATTAAGGGCATAAAATGGTTGGCCTTTTTGTTTTCTTTGGCTCTGCTGTTTTGGATATGTTTGAATTCTGTTTAAGTGATTTTTAATATTATATCTTAAGAGTCTGTGTTGAACTTGATTTATTTTCTAGGTGGCTAAGCTAAATTCAAGCTATCCTGGGGGTTTGGCATCGTATATTCAAACTGCTAGGGAGCTGTTAGCAGACTCGAAAACAGGGAAGAACCCATATGATGGCTTCACACCCTCGGTAAATAAATTAGTCTTTCACTTTGAAAACTTAAAATTTCTATACAATTTCTTATCAATTATCCAATTGCCTTAAACTTACATGATTCATATTATTATTAATGGAAATTGACATTAATATCAAATTTTCTTTACCCTGTTTTGTCTCCTTCTCTCCACTGTCTTCTAAGTTCTATGCAACTGTCTCAAACCCATAATTTATTTTTTACAGGTTCCAACTGGAGAAATTCTTTCTTTTGGTGATGATAATTTCATCAATTTTGAGGAGGCAGGTGTCAAAGAAGCCCAAAATGCAGCATTTGTTCTTGTTGCAGGTGGGCTTGGTGAACGGCTTGGATACAATGGAATTAAGGTAGATAACCTATAGACTGACAGTTAAGATTTTGCTTATCCTGTTAATTTCAATTATTTCGTAAAAGGTACACAACTCTGTGTAGTTGAAATATATTTGATGGATACTTTTGTGTTAAGTGTTGGTTCCTCTGACTCATGCTCGACTAAAGTAGATATTGGATATATGAATTTTTCCCTTTTTAAGGAGGGTTGATCACATATTTTTTGTTGTACTGATTAAACCAGTTCCGAATATTTGACTGGTTTTGTTCCCTCAAACAAATATTTGACTAGCTACTTTTACACCTTGTAGGTGGCACTTCCAGCAGAGACCACAACTGGAACATGTTTCTTACAGTCATACATCGAGTCCATTCTGGCTCTTCAGGAGGCTAGTGGTATGCTCACGCGAGGTTTGTATGGCATCTCAATTATTGGGAGGCTTTCCACATTGTATAGCCTTTTGAAATTTTGTTTCTCCTCTTGATCAAGAAAGATTAAGTGTTCTTGTCCTTCAGTATTATGAATGGCAGCAGCCAATGGGAGATTGCTGAGCTGTTCAGAATAGGCCATTTCACTGTTGAAATGTATGAGCAATTGCTTGGTGCACAAACCATGGGAAGAAAGCCACTTGGATGAACCTAAGGTTTAAATTGTAGTGATCACTGAAAAAGCCACTTTCAACGAAGTCAAGAATTGACCACTTACTTTAGTTGTAATTGGGCCCATCCTTCTATGAGGAAAATTGATAGAATGAACAAGTCAAAAAGAGTTCCAAGTTAGACTGTATTGTTTTTACTGTAATAAAAAATAGCAAATGAGCTTATCCATTTTATGCAAGCTCACTGGCTAGAAAAATCTGATTTTTGTACTGAGCTAGGTGCAATTATCTTAAGCCAGCTGAGCCTTTTAAATGCTTTGTAAACAACCTCCCTAGTCTCACTAGCAGAAGCAGTTCATATTTTTACAAGACATTTTCCTAAGATAGAAGTGCTCTGATTGTCGTATTTGCCTTAATAAGTAAAAGGAAAAATATTTAATCTCCAACTTTTCTTTAGAAAAATATTTTACTGTTTGTTGCATTTTAGAATTTAGTCGCTCTCTCTCTCTCTCTGAATATATGCATGTCTAAATTTTAGGTACATGTCAAAAGGAGATTCCTTTTGTTATCATGACATCAGATGACACACATACCCGTACATTGGACCTTTTAGAGTCAAATTCTTATTTTGGAATGAAACCTGCGCAAGTTAAACTTCTTAAGCAGGTATGTAATCTTTCATTGATGTCTGGTTGGTGAAAGCTGTTGTAAGGTGCTTTACGTTGTCATATTTACTTGCAGGAAAAAGTTGCATGCTTAGATGATAATGATGCTAGGCTTGCTTTGGATCCTCATAACAAATACAAAATTCAGGTAACCTCCATAAATGCCTTATACAAAGCATGGTTATATTTTGATTGCTAAAAACCCTTAGGTTCTTCTCTTAACTCTTTTCTGGTCTTGTTAGACAAAGCCGCATGGCCATGGTGATGTGCACTCACTTCTTTATTCTAGCGGCCTTCTGAATTTGTGGTATGTCTCTCAAATGCTTAGATTGCTTCTAAAGTCTGGAATCTGGAATTGTTTTTTCATTCCTTTTCAAGTTTTTTATTTTTTTTTTATGTTTAGATATTGCCTGTTGTGAAAAACTTATTTCTTTACAGCACGAAACTCCTTATATGATGATATTTTTGTGATCGAGTCTGCTCTTGCCCTTGCCTCTATTTATAGTAGTAAGACAAAAAAATGTTGGTTTCTAACCCACATTAGGGTGTAACATAGAAACAAACTGACAACATCCATGTGAATCAGCTGTAATCTAGCTACCATACACTTATAAGTAATCCGTTTTCCAACTCTTCTTATCTTAATTGTCTCAAAATTTATCTATGCTAGATCAGTTACATTGCATAAAAAAGTCAAATGTCAGTCTTTAGAGATTGGTTTAATGGATAATTTTTTATATTTTGCTACGAACTTTTATCATCATTTCTTGCTAGGCATGATGCTGGTTTGAGATGGGTTATTTTTTTCCAAGACACAAATGGACTTCTGTTCAAGGTTAACTTCCAAAATTTCCATCATTTCATCTATAGTTTTCTTATTTTGACAACGCAAAACTGGTTAAAATAAAATTCTACTATTTCAATGTAGGCAATTCCAGCATCACTGGGAGTCAGTGCAACTAAACAATACCATGTCAACTCTATTGCTGTTCAACGGAAAGCAAAAGAAGCCATTGGAGGAATTACCAGACTTACTCATAGTGATGGTATTTATATATGAAACTCCTCTAATTCTTGGAAGCTAGAACTGCTAATTATGTAGTATTTGCTTATAAACCTTTTATCTCTAGGAATGTTTACAAAATAAGGTCTACAGCTCACTAATTTCTCATTTCTTTAGTGTCTTTTTTGCTTTGTGCTTGTTCATGTTAAAGTTTTTTGATGATATAGGATGGTACATAATTGCCTCTTTTTCTCCCCTCCCTCCTCTCCTTTTCATTTTCGTATATATAATATGAATCAGATATATATGGTACAATGAAGCTATGGTAGGTGTTTTGGCATCAAAGACCCTATGATTTATGCTTCATGTGGGAAAACATTTAGTTACAAGTGGTTGTATTTTGTAATCTGCTGATTGTAATCTGTATATATCTGTATCCCTAAAATTGAGAATTTGTATCTCTAGAATTAAGGACAGAATATCAGGATAGACAATTCCTTGATTATAGGGATTAGATTTAGGAATATTTAGTTTCCTAATTTACTATCTAGTTAGTTGTATTTAAATCTATGGTGTTTGTATGATTCGATACACAAGTTTTTCAATATACTCTCATTTTTCCACATGGTATCAGAGCTTTAGACTCTTCTTGGGAAGAAAATTTTTCAGCCTTCATTGCTGAATTTTTTTAGGCCTTCATAGCCAAATTTTGTTAAGTCTGTCATACTTTTATTATTATTATTATTTTTTTTTTGGCCTTCATTGCCTATACTCGTTTCAGTCCTGAGAAAGGTAATCATGTCAGAAATAGCAGAATCTGTCGCTACTACTCGATTTGGAGAAGTAACAACTAGTCAAACCACAGGGGAACTACAGAATATCCAAGCTGCATACAGATTGAATGGAAAGAACTACTTGAAGTGGTTTCAGTTGGTTCAAACCTTTCTAAAAGGGAAAGGAAAATTGAGCCATCTTCTTGGCACTGGTCCTGAGAAAGGAGATCCAAAATTTGAGGCTTGGGATGAAGAGGATTCTATGGTTATGTCATGGCTGTGGAATTCTATGACACCAGATATTAGTGACACTTGTATGTTTTTGTCCACGGCCAAAGACATTTGGGAATCAATTCGTCAAACCTATTCCAAAGTTAAAGATGCTACTCAAGTCTATGAGGTAAAGATCAAGACTGCAGCTCTCAAACAAGGGAATAAGTCAGTCACAGAGTATGCTATTCTTCTTAAAAATCTTTGGCAAGAGATGGATCACTATCAGTGCATAGAAATGAAGTGCAGTGAAGATGCAACAACTTTGAAGAAATTTATTGAAAAAGATCGAGTCTATGATTTTCTTGCTGGACTGAATGTTGAGTTTGATCAAGTCAGAGTCCAAATTCTGGGAAAACAGGATCTGCCTTCTTTAAATGAAGTGATATCCATGGTTAGAGCAGAAGAGAGCAGAAGAGGAGTGATGCTTGACAGTGTGCATGTAGAAGGATCTGCTATGGTCTCTAATGGTGGGAAGAACCAAAGCTTAGAACAATTACCAGTCAGTGAGAATGGGAAAGGTGATTCGGCTAAAACTTCAAATCGCGACAATCTTTGGTGCACCTATTGCAAGAAGCCAAGGCACACCAGAGATCGTTGCTGGAAACTACATGGAAAACCTTCGACTTCAAGCAAAGAATGGGGTTATAAAGGAGGACAGCCAAGAAATCAAGGACAAGCTCACATGACTGCAATGGAGTTAAACCAGGAGAAGTCTCAGGAACAAGGAGAGTTGGATAAAAAAGAGATTGAGAAACTGAGAAGCCTATTGGGAACTCTTGAAAAGGCTACTGGTGTATGCTCCTTGGCACACTCAGGTAAGGACTCTAGTGCGGGTAAAGTCTGTAATTCTCATGGATTAAATGTCTCAGATCAGTCCATTAAGAGTTTTTGGGTCATTGACTCAGGAGCCACAGACCACATGACACATTCTTCACAAAAGTTTAGTACATATACCCTATGTCCTGGTAATAAGAAAATTACTGTTGCAGATGGTTCACTTACTACAGTGGCAGGAATAGGAGATGTTCAAATTAATCCCTCATTCGTTCTTAAAAATGTTCTTCATGTTCCTAGATTATCTACTAATCTGATATCTATACAAAGACTTACTAGAGACATGAACTGCAATGTGACTTTTTATCCCTCTTACTGTGAATTTCAGGACCAGGGTTCGGGAAAGAGGATTGGACTTACTAAGGAGAAGGATGGACTATACTATCTTGAGACATCCAACAACATAAGTAATATCAAGAATAGTTTACCTTTGTCATTTCTTTTTTGAACAATCTTCCAATAAAGATAAAATCTGGCTTTATCATTTTCGTCTTGGACATCTTTTTTTTGGAACTTTGAAAAACATGTTTCCTTCTTTGTTCAAAGGATTAAACGTTGAAGATTTTCATTGTGATGTTTGTGAACTTGCAAAACACAGACATGTATCTTTTCCAATTAGTAACAAAAGAAGTTCTACTCCATTTCACTTGATTCATAGTGACATTTGGGGTCCCTCTATAGTTCCTAATATTTCTGGGGCAAGATGGTTTATTTCATTCATAAATGATTGTACCAGGGTTTCTTGGATTTTTTTACTTAAATCCAAATCAGATGTGAATAGTGTGTTTTTTAGCTTCCAAAACATGATCCAAAATCAATTTGGAGTGAGAATCAAGAGATTTAGGTCTGATAATGCAAGAGATTATTTCAACCAGAGTCTATCCACCTATTTTCAAAATGAGGGGATTATCCATGAGTCATCTTGTGTTAATACTCCACAGCAAAATGGAGTGACAGAGAGAAAAAATAGTCATTTACTAGCTACAACCCGAGCCTTCCTTTTTCAAGCAAATGTGCCCAAATCTTACTGGGGGGAAGCTGTTCTCACTGCTACACACATTATAAATAGGTTACCTTCAAGAGTTTTGGGATTTAAAACTCCTATGAAACTACTCTCACAATTCTATCCCAACCTTAATACCACAAATAACTTCACACCTAGGATATTCGGTTGTACATCATTTGTTCATGTTCACAGTCATAATAGGAAAAAATTGGATCAAGAGCAATTAAGTGTATTTTTGTGGGGTATTCATCAACTCAGAAAGGGTATAAGTGCTATCATTCTCCTACCAAAAAATTCTCTGTGTCTCCAGATGTCACTTTTGAAGAAAGTAAACCATTTTTTACTTAACCTTATCTTCAGGGGGAGACATCATTTTTAGAAGATAAGGATGAAGACTTCTTTTTGCTTGACTTGTTATCCTCCTCCAAAACAGTTTCACCCATTAATTCTTTTGAGCCTAAACTCATTTCTTCAAAGTCCAAGTCAAACATTGATTCTAAATCTGAACCCATTCCAAACACAGAAGTTGTGACTAAGGATAATACTATTCTTGATTCTGTGAAAGAATTACAGGTGTACTCAAGAAAGAAAGTTTCAGCTCCTGAACTAGTGCAAATCCAAGAATCTGATCCTAACTCTAGAAATGAGGTAATTACAGCCTCTGATTCTATTACTCAAAATGAGCATGACTCTCCTAAAATTAGTGATTATGATCTACCTATTGTCATTAGGAAAGGAACTAGAGAATGTACTAAACATCCATTATACCCAATCTCTAATTTTGTGTCATTTGAAAAGTTTTCACCATCCCATAAAAATTTTCTTGTGAGCCTAAATACTATTTCTATTCCAACTACATTATCTGAGGCATTATCCAATGAGAAATGGAGGCAAGCGATGAAAATAGAAATTGAGGCCTTAGAGAAAAATAAGACATGGGAACTGGTAGAGTTGCCTGCAGGAAAACATCCAGTTGGGTGTAAATGGGTTTTCACTGTAAAGTATAAGGCAAATGGTACTATTGAAAGATACAAGGCCAGGCTGGTGGCTAAGGGCTACACTCAAACTTATAGAGTGGATTATCAGGAAACTTTTGCTCCAGTTGCCAAGATGAATACAGTTAGGATTTTATTATCCTTGGCGGCAAATTACAATTGGCAGCTTCAACAATTTGATGTAAAGAATGCCTTTTTACATGGTGATTTGGAAGAAGAAATATATATGAAAGTTTCACCGGGATTTGGGGGTCATCTAGAAGTAAAAAAAGTATGCAAGCTGAAAAAGGCTTTATATGGCCTTAAACAGTCTCCTAGGGCCTGGTTCGGGAGATTTGCCAAAGTGATGCTAGGAATGGAATACAAACAAAGTCAAGGGGATCACAAACTATTTATCAAGCACTCAGATTCAGGGAAGGTCACAGTTCTATTAGTATATGTTAATGATATAATTGTAACCGGAGATGATGAAAAAGAAAGAGAGTCTCTAAAACAGTGTTTGACCAGAGAATTCGAGATAAAAGAGCTAGGGAGATTGAAGTACTTCCTAGGAATTGAAGTAGCCCACTCACGTCATGGTATTTTTATCTCACAACAGAAATATGTGATGGATCTTTTGAAGGAAACTGGGAAGCTCGCATATAGATCCTAATCATAAACTTGAAGAAGCTAATGAAGATGCTGATGTAGATAGGAAGATCTACTAGAGATTAGCTGGAAGACTTATTTATCTCTCACATACTAGACCTGACATAGCATATGCTGTGAGTGTGATAAGTCAATTTATGCATAGTACTAAAGAAGTACACCTACAGGCTGTCTACCGTGTACTACACTATTTGAAGGCTAATCCAGGGAGAGGTATCTTGTTTAAAAGAAATTCAGGGTTGGTACTAGAGACATATACAGATGCTGATTATGCAGGGTCAGTAACTGACAGAAGATCTACTCAGGCTACTGCACTTTTCTAGGTGGTAATCTTGTAACTTGGAGGAGTAAAAAACAGAATGTGGTGGTAAGATCAAGTGCTGAAGCAGAGTTTAGGGCAATGGCTCAAGGAATTTGTGAACTACTATGGTTAAAGATTATTCTAGAAGACTTGAAGATCAAATGGGATGGACCAATGAGACTTTACTGTGATAACAAATCTGCAATAAGCATTGCACACAATCCTGTGCAACATGACAGAACAAAACACATTGAAGTAGACCGGCACTTCATAAAGGAAAAACTAGACAGTGGATTGATTTGCACCCCATATGTATCAACCAAGAGTCAACTTGCAGATGTGTTGACTAAAGGCCTCAACAGTGTAACATTTCAGAAAATTATTTCCAAGCTGGGAATGGAAAACACCTAATCACCAGCTTGAGGTGGAGTGTGGGAAAACATTTAGTTACAAGTGGTTATATTTTGTAATCTGCTGATTGTAATCTGTATATATCTGTATCCCTAAAATTGAGAATTTGTATCTCTAGAATTAAGGACAGAATATCAGGATAGACAATTCCTTGATTATAAGGATTAGATTTAGGAATATTTAGTTTCCTAGTTTACTCTCTAGTTAGTTGTATTTAAATCTATGGTGTTTGTATGATTCGATACACAAGTTTTTCAATATACTCTCATTTTTCCACACTTCAATATTAGTAATGCACCATGAAATTGACTTCAGGGAGATCAATGGTGATCAATGTGGAATACAATCAGCTTGATCCTCTGCTTAGAGCAACCGGCCATCCTGATGGAGATGTTAATTGTGAGACTGGTTATTCTCCTTTCCCAGGAAATATAAACCAAGTAATTTTTCCAGCTCAAAATCACTATTTAGATGTTTAGGATTCTTTACTTGTATAATTCATATAGTTAGAAGTACAAAAAATTTACAATGTTTTTCACCTGCTGAACCAATCATTGTCATCAAGATATTTATGAAAGTTGATCTGATTTTCTGTAGTTTAATCTCTTATCCATATGTAGAAACTGTTCCATTCTTTGTCTAATTGCTCTCCCTCCATATTCTGTTCTTTTTTTTGTTTCTGTTTTACAGCTGATTTTGGAGCTTGGTCCATACATTGAGGAGCTCACAAAAACAGGAGGTGCTATTAAGGAATTTGTTAACCCAAAGTAATTCTTCTTTTTCTTTTTGTTAATTGTGATTGAAACTTGTTAATGTTCTGCTTTATGGATGATTTTATATCTTGTTTTTGCTTATAACAAGATTTTGAAATAAAAAGTTTATAGTTCATTTTTAATTTTATTAATTCTTTTTTAAACCTCAAGGCATATATTTCGTATGAAGAAACATGAGGAATAGGAATTAAGCAGAATTTCTGGGAAAGATGTAGAATAACGGAATTTTCAAATAAATGGTAGTAATCTCATCTGCATCGTCTGTTGAATTTTCATGGCTGGTTATTACAATCATTTAAGAAATGTATGTTGTTCCTAGAATTTTCCTGCTATAGGAAATGTCTTCTAGTTCTAGAAGTAATTATGATAGTGAAACATCAAGCTCCTTTTGCTGTTAGGTTCCTACCAATTAAAGAAGTTAGATTCAGTTGATTCCAACTCATGGTGGAAAATTGTTCAACAACTTGATCTGATTTTATCAGACTTTTGATGTCCCAAGATCTTAATTTATGAGCTCTAAATATTCAGTTCCTTGTAAAGAAATAATGAGTCTTGATCATGCCTTCCATTTTTTGCTATCTTATTGCAGGTATAAAGATGCTAGCAAAACATCATTTAAGTCCTCAACTAGACTAGAGTGTATGATGCAAGACTACCCTAAAACATTGCCTCCATCAGCAAGAGTTGGATTTACGGTAATTGGTGGTTCAATTCTTTCCTGTAATTTCACTTAAGCTTCTGGTTTTGATACTTACCTACCATCTGCCATCAGATAGGAACCTACTTCTGTTGTGGTTCGGTGAAAGAATTTGCTATTAAATATTTACTCATCAGTAAACCTGATGTAATGCAATTGTTTAGGTGATGGATACATGGCTTGCTTATGCACCTGTGAAAAACAACTCTGAGGATGCTGCTAAGGTGAAATTATTTTTAATAATTTCTAGAATCCATCTTTCTCTATTTAGTTGGCTCTTTTGTTATTATAACAATATAGCATGTCAATTGATAGCAATTGGATTTCTAATGTTGGTTGATTTATACACAATGGGGTACAGTATAATTAGGTTCTTCTGTGTAGATCAAAATATGGAAAAGCTATAACATCTAGATTTTGTTATGCAATTTCGTCCACGAATCTATTTCAGAGAGTGAACAATTCTTCTTGAAAATCATTTTTCTTTTATTTCTCTTGCATCATACAGGTTTAAATATGCTAATCATCCTGTTTAGTATTGTTATGCTAATCATCCTGTTTAGTGTTATTTTGCCACAAATTTTAATGGGAACTATTTTATGGTGAACTTTGTCAAATAAGTGAATTAGTTCCTTTTAGAGTCATTACTTCTCTTAAGTACAATGTTCATGCTTGAACATTATAGTGTTTTTTCAAGGGATATGGTATAGTTTATTTACATGGTGCTTATCATTGTAACATCTCTATGTTCCCTTTTTTTAATCATGCTAAGCATTTGCCTATTCACTTTTTGTCTCCTTTGAACTATTCTTCATTAATCTTCAAAAAAGCAACCTTTAGGCTGCACATTCTTTCTCTACCTTAACACCAAGAATTGTATATTTATAATTATCATCTTTTGTTGTCCTTGGTAATTAGTTTATATTTTTGGGCATCTTTGTCAGTTTGACTATTTAATAATGTTTACTCAAACCTTAATTAAGGTACCAAAAGGGAACCCATATCACAGTGCAACTTCTGGAGAAATGGCCATATATCGTGCAAACAGTCTCATCCTTAAAAAGGTGATCATGTCATTCTTTGGAGTCTTGTTTTTCACTCTCTCTATCACTCATTTTATTGTATTGTTAAATCTTTTGATTTCCAATTTTTATCTGTTTGCTAGGCTGGTGTCCAAATGGAGGATCCAGTACAACAGGTTTTCAGTGGACAAGAGGTGGAAGTGTGGCCACGTGTTACATGGAAGCCTAAATGGGGGCTGACTTTTGCTGAGATCAAAAGGAAAATTAGTGGAAGTTGCTCCATTTCTCAAAGGTCTACTATGGCCCTTAAGGGCCATGATATTTTTCTTGAAGATTTATCCTTGGATGGAGCTCTTATCATCAACTCTATTGATGGTGCAGAGGTATGCCATGATAAATTAATGTTATCCATTCTTCCTTTCTTATTTTCTTATTTTTTTTGGTTTTTGTCTTTTTTCCTTGCACTCTTTTGCAACAAGTTTAATAGATTGGTTGCATGTTACAATTGGTTGATTTAAGCATTGTCTATTAATACCAGGATTGTTCCATATATTTAGTTTCGTGCCATCTTTCGAAATATCATAAGAGATGTTGTTCCCAAATGTGTCGGCTTTCTTGACTTGAATTTTCTGAGATTCTTCATGCTCAAAAGCTCATACCTGATCATTGCCGTTCCTATGATTTCATTATTCTCAAAGTTTACCCATGATCATCGTTAGGTCGGATATTCAAATTGTTATACGAGTCTGTGACCCTTAGCTGCTTGTAAATGTGGAAGTCAATTTTTCGTATGTTTAAAGGACAATATTAGCTTGAGTTTCAGGCTTAGTTCAGTTGGAGAACAATTTTTGTAATAATATGGTTTTGGAAATAGGTAAAAGTTGGGGGATCAATACAGAACAAGGGCTGGCTTCTTGAGAGCATTGACTACAAAGATATTGCTATACCGGAGGAACTGAGGATCAGGGGTTTCCAAATCAACAAATTAGAGCAATTGGAGGAAACTTACGTGGAACCTGGCAAGTTCACCTTAAAGCCATGAAGTTGAACATAGAAAGAGACACAACAATTCTTTTTTTATTTTTTCTTTTTCAGAAAGCTTTATCTGGTTATTATTAGACAGTTCATAGCAGGAATAAATCACTTTCCTTCAGTAACTTGTATTACAATTATGTCCTTTAACAATAATGAGCCAATAATAACCACCCAAACCTTCCTCCCTCTTTCTCATAAACTCTTCCATCTTTTATTCTGTTACTCTTGGGATGGAAATAAAATTTTCAGGACATGTGAATAAGATGCTTATTTCTTGCATCTCTTGATCTTTAGATGGTATGGTGACATGATTTTTTTTTTTTTTTTTATGTTTTGATAATAAGATCAGACGTATTCTCTAGTTTTGCTTGGCCCCAATTATCTTAAGGGCGCATTCTTAGAGTGCTTTTATAAAGATAGAACTTTGGTTGATAAGGAAAATGTACATCTCTGTATCAACTGGACTAATCTTTTATCAGATAGATATCTCAGCAAGCGGCCCTTGGATGTTGGGACCTGTATCATTATGGCTCCCATGTTGAAATTTCAACTATGCCGAGGTTTAGAAGCTGTTGCAACTACCAGTCACTCGATCAGTGGCATGAACCTTGTAGCTATAATTTATATGCAATAATTGTATGTTGCCAATGTGTGAGGCTGAAATGCTATGGACAACATTTTTGTTAGCACGTCATTGGAGTTAAGAGTTTAATTTCGAATTTATGTGCTTTAATATTTTTAAAGCGTAATGTTTTTTTTAAGATAACTATAAAGATAAAAAAATTTAAAGATAAATTAAGAATTAAAAAAACCAAGGGAATTGTATCTTCCAGATTTGCATCACACACTCATTATTACATATTCTTAGTACATTTTCTTGCTACACCTAATTTACAATAATAAGAGTTTTCAAAAGGAACATCTGAACTTATTAAGTTTTTATTTAAAAAAGTTTTGAATTTCAATTTTGGAAAAAAAATTTTGTGAGATGAAAAAGGATTACCTCTTAATATCACAGGTACTTAAAAAATTCACAATAATAGGAAAAGGAACATTGCCGCAGAAATCCTGAAGCTGAAGCAAAGTTTAAAAACCCTCTCATATATATCAGGAGAAAGACTTTGATTTTCTTGTATATTTCTTCTTCTACATATATATTCCCATTTCCCCAGGCTCTTGATTAAGGGTGTCTTCAAATGGCTCCAGCATGAAGAATTCAACTTCTATACTCAAACTTTCTCAAATGGAAAACTAACATTGGAAGATCAGGAAAGAAAGCGTAGCTTGTCGAAGTCACTTAGGTTTCGGCTCCTCCAAGGCTACAACTGACCGACCACGGCCTTAATTGCCAACAAATTTAAGCATAATGGGAAACTAAAAATTTGATAGTCCGGTGTAATTTAGTGTTGCATGGTCTACACACGTGTTTCATCTTGGGACATATTGACCTTTTTTTTTTTTTTGAATGTGTCACGAATCTTTGTTTCAAACAAAGTATAAACTATCAGTCTTTTATTATTATTATTATTATTATTATTATTATTATTATTATTACTAGCACCATAGCACGTTATCATAGTCATTTAGTATACGTTACATTAATTTTTTAAAATATTCGAACGGCAAGACAAAAAAAAGATTTGTTGAATCATAATTGTATTTAGAACTGATAATTTTAAATATAATAAAATAATAAGATATGAAAAAAAAAATGCAATTTAAAATTTTAATAAAATTAGTGTATAAATTTTGAAAAATAAAAAAATTAATTTTTAATTTATCAATACGAATTATGATATGATATTTTTATTTTTTTATATATATTTATACCAAATAAATATAAAATAAATATACAAATGGTAGATCTAATTGAGTTGACTTCTTTATCTGTCTAAAAATTAACATTGGTCTAGCATATATATGATTTATTCAATTTAACTTTCTAAATATAAGTTAAAATAAAAAAAGTAACAGTATCTAGTCAGATGGGTTGCAAATTTATCTCCAAAATTTATCAAAGTAATTTCTAGTATTTACAAAAAATAATTGATATTTTTACAAGATCCAATATTTTGGTACAAGAATTTTTGCCTACCAAAGACAAATATTAGACGATCAATCCTCCAAATAAATAAATAAATAAATTAAATGAAATTGTTATTTAACATACTCATTAATATTTTGACAATAAATAGTTAATTTTATCATAAATATAATTATATGATATAATTTAAATTAAAAATTAAAATGATATATGTTAACGTGAAGTAAACATATCCTTTTTTATAAGTAATAAAACCTAAAATGAAAAAGACTTATGAGGAAGGAAGACCACAATTGGGATATGCTTGATCTGATCTAAGCTCAACAGGAAAGAAATAAATAGACAAAGAAAATTCAATCTCTGAAAATCAAAAACTGATATTTGTTTCCTTCAAGAATTTTCCATAGGAAACTTCTTGCGAGCTTCCCTACCCATTTATTCTCCATAAAATGTATTCACAAACCGTACAAAACATTAACTACTTTCTCCAGCCATTTGCATATATAAATACTAAGAACCCTTCATTATGCTATCATCATATGTGCAAGAAACACCAAATTACAAAGCTTCATAACTTCATGTTAATGGTGACTTATTTCTGTTTGATAACATGTCTCCCCTTAGCAAGAACGACTTGCAACGGATTTTTGAGAAGCTTGACAAGAATGGTGATGGGTTGGTCAGCCTAGAGGAGCTCAATTGGCTCCTGGAGAGAATTGGAGTCGAGTTTAGGCCGGAGGAGTTGGAGTCCTTAGTTGGGAAGCCATGTCTCGACTTGGATGAATTCTTATTCTTTTATGATTCCATCTCGAATCAGAATGTTGATGGTGGAAAGAAGATTGAGGCAGCAGCTGGTGATCATGAGGAGGAACTGATCATTCATGGCGATGATGATGATGATGACAGTGACCTAGCTAAGGCTTTCAAGGTGTTTGACTTGAATGGGGATGGCTTCATTTCTTGTGAGGAGCTTCAAAGCGTGTTGGGTAGACTTGGTTTATGGGATGAAAGCAGTGGCAAAGATTGCAGAAACATGATTTGCTTCTACGACACCAACTCCGACGGCATGGTTGATTTTGAAGAATTCAAAAACATGATGTTACACACCATTTAAGCTTCATACCAAATCCCATTTAAGCTGTTACCCCTTGTAAAATACCATTAATTATAGAAATAGAATGTCCATATCATTTCCTTTTTTTTTTTTTTTTATGTAATAGATATATTCTGAGTAGAACAATTGCCGGTATTGTCTCTTTTCCTTCTTTCTTTCTTTTTATGCTTATGTCTTTATATGGTCTACTTGGTCCAAACAAAAGGTAAAAGTACCGGACACAGAATAAAAGGACGGTAGCTGCGCGTTCCAAACGAGTACCATATAGATAAACTTTCTTATGAGCAAATCATTCGTATATATTACAACATATATGATTATCATATTAAATTATTGATGTAAATACTTACATAAATATTTATTTTTCGAGTCGTAAGATAATTTTTAAAATTTTTTATTATGATGACCCATAAGATATTTATTAATTTTAAATTATTTATAAAAAATATATTTTAAAAATTATTAAATTATCTAAAATTTTAAAATTTAATCAAAAATTAATTTAAATTTTAATGAAATTTTGTCTCATGTACATCACTTTGTCTCAATTTAAAATTAATTTTAAAATAATTTATCTTTTTCAATTTATCTAGAGTTAATATGAGTATTTATATTTATCACAATTTTTAAAAATATTATTTAATATCTTTAATATTTTTTATAAATAATTCTTGCATTATTTTTTTTTAAATATATTTCACAAAGGAAATTTAAAACATATATAAATACCATAACAAGTGTAGGAAAGTTTTTCTTTTGTATCACCTCATTTCAATTTAAAACTAATTTTAAAATAATTTATCTTTTTTAATTTATTTATAGTTAATATGAGTATTTAAATTTATCACAATTTTTAAAAATATTATTTAATATCTTCGATAGTTTTTATAAATAATTCTTTCATTATCTTCAGTTTTTAAATACATTTCACAAAAAAATGTGAAAAAATATATATATATACCAAAACAATTTCAGAATAGTTTCTCCTGTATATCAAATTTCTATTTTATATCACCTCATATCAATTTAAAATTAATTTTAAAGCTATTTATCTTTTTCAATTTATTTATAGTTAATATGAGTATTTAAATTTATCACAACTTTTAAAAGTATTATTTAATATCTTTAATATTTTTTATAAATAATCCTTATATTATTTTTAGCTTTTAAATATATTTCATAAAAGAATGTAAAAAAAATATATAAATACTAAAACAACTTAAAAAAAAACCCTCACTGATGGTAACTTTTAGTTATATAACTTTCCCAACGACCTATTGAACTAAACGTATTTTTTTTCTATTATTAATTTAGTCTTTCTTTTTATTAGTTTATTCTTGCTATAAGAACTAACATGCTTTTTCTGATGATAGATATTATTTTATTAAACATACTATTCACTCCATCAGCTAAGATTTTTTTTTTCAAATAAGCTCTATAATTTTTTTTAACTACAATATTACAAAAACACATATATTCTTATATTTTTACTGGTATTGTCTATAGACCTTTTGTTTTTTTAAGGATTCTTCACTCAATCAGGTAATATATTTTATCTTTTAACTGGTTAGTTATTTAATATTTCTCATTTTTATTAAATAAAAATGATGCTTTAATTAATTGATATAATAGAGTTATGTACCTTAAATAGAACTTATGTACCAGTTGTACATTCAAAGAATGAATAATTTCTTAACTCATATTCATATTGTGAAACATGTAACATAATTTTAAATCAAGAGATTATTTTTCATAAAAAAATAAAATTGAAAAGAAATAATTAAGGGATAGTCTCATCAATAATATTAATTTCAAGTTTATTTATATCTTAACTTAAACAAACCTTAGAACCATAAAAGATTTCACCAAAATTCCTAAAAAAAAAAAAGATATGAATCCTATAATAACTTTGTAATTATAAAACAGAAAATTTTTTATAGCCTTTAGCAGAATTAAAAAAAAAAAAACCTTATTTTTATTATGATATGATATTTTAATTATGTTATTTATATGTTACATATATTTTGAATATGTAAATAATTCAATAATATTAATTTATGTTTTTATTTAAATTTAAATAAAATAAAAATAATATGTGCATCGCATAGGTAGCAAGTTAGTTTTCAATTATATATTGTCAAAACTTTTTTATATAAAAGAGACGTAATAAGATAAATTATTATAGATATTAAGATTTAAAATTTAAATTATTAGATATTACTTTTTAAAAATAATTATATAAATTAATTAAAATAAAATTTTAATTTTAATTAATATCAATTTGATTTGTTTGACATGTATTAATCATCTATACCTTAGAAAAAAAAATCAAGAGACAGAATTTAAGTAAGGTGCCTAATATTGTTAACTAATATTATTAACAAAAACGGATATAGAATTTTTTTAAAATATCAATTTATAATATATATATAATTGAAACAAATTCATTAATTTTATTGATAAAAATAATGTTTTAAAAAAAATTTCTTTAATTTTTTTTTTTCAAAATTGAAAGTGTCTGTTAACACTCTAATTCACTGTATAAATCCGCCCATGATGGTTAAGGCAGTACGTAGTTGATACCTAACCCAGAATAGTTGGGACGAGTTCCAGCAAAAATCCAGAAATTTTGGGGATGACTATGAAATATTCAACGTTACTGGCGGCTTTGTTTGGTGTGAATTGAGAGTGTGCTCTCTAATCATCATCACCTTTAACATTTGTTTCCAGATATTTTCCTTTCCTAAAGTGGAGCTGCTTCAATCTTGTATATATCATTGTCCAGTGTTTTAACCGCCAAACAAAATGTAACCACAAAAAACAGCATCTCCCTTTGACAATGTTTTGAAATACTAGTATAATAATTAATATTTGTTGATTAGGATGAAAAAAATTTAATTTTTTTAAATAAAATTTTAATTTTAAATATTATGAATAAAAAAATAAATATTAAAAATTTTATTTTTTTTATAAGATTTAATCTGACTCGATTTTAAAATAATCAAAATTTAAAATGATTATCAATTATTAAAAAATTTTAAATAAAAAAATTTTAATATAATAATCGAAAGATCTATCATTAGAATACGCTACTATTTATTTTTGTTGGTTGGCCAAATGTCCCTTTATCACCCACAAATATGTAGAAAGGAAATAATTTTGTGGGATTTAGACATAAAAAGATTTTAACTATTTCAATTCAGAAAGGAAATAATCGATTACCTGGTTTGATTTAAGCTAAACTGAGTTGAAAATTTAGGTCGAAATTCAACTCAACTTCAATCAAACTTTATTTTTAATGATCGAATTTAACTCATAAATTTTTTGAGCTGTTTGATTTTATATATTTGATTATACTTAACAAAATTATAAATAAAATTATTAAATATTATATTTTTATAGATATATTAAAAAAATTTTTATTATAGTTATGATTTTTTTAATCAAATATTAAAATATTTTAACTCAATTTAATTTATTTTTTGAATAATTCGAGATGGAATTCAATTCAATAATAAAAAAGCTAAACTAAATGCAGCAATGACTTGACAATTATGTTATTTTAGTTAATTAGTCTAATAAGCTGAGTCAGAAATTGCTTGTATTTCCTGCCCATTGCATTGAAAATTATCTATGGATTTTAGCAAATCAGGGTTTTTTTTTTTTTTGGCCACTTGCATGAAACGTTGATTATCATAATTCAGAAATCTATCATTTTATCAGAAAAAAAAAAAAGTTTGACTAAGGTCGGCATTGACAGTTAAAAAAAATCTTCCTTCAACAAAGAAAAATTAAAGTAGATTAGCGACTATCTCAAAAGGACAAAACTTGTACGGTGATGTACCTTTGGCATGTTCTGCGAAGTTCCTCCGAGACTTTAAAGAAACATTTAAAAGTGAAAGACTTTTGAATCATCAAAGGTCAAATTTGGTTTGCAGGAGATCATTTAAGACACGAATTTATTTATTTTTTCCTGATATTGGCATGGAACTTGTTTGGGTCCATAGTCATCGTGCTTAACGACAATGGTTCGACACGATATCAGTTGAAATTTGTCAGAAAGTTCGAAATTCTAGCTTTTTCTTCCATTGTGATGAAAGACTGATAAGTCAATACCTTGTTTTTATACCTTTTAAGACGATTTTCTACAGTTGGAAACTTGGAATGTTTGAATCAGCAATCAAGTTGACAAAAAAGAAAGGAGGAAAAATGTAGCTGATCCATTCTTGTAATAAATATACGAGGATGTATCCTGGAAGGAGCAAGATTGAAGACTTAAAATTGGCATGAAGAACAAGGACCGCAGACCGATCGGTCTCCGTGTAAGCTATTGAGCCATTTGCTTGTTCATGGCATTATTATTTCTAGTAGGTGAAGCAAGTACGAGTGCCTGGTTTTGGTTGGTCTCATAGTTAATGTAGATAGATAAGTTTCCCAAGTTTGGTAATAGTAGCAAGGTATGAAGATAATGGTGGAGATGGGTGCCAAATTTGATAAAGAGCTTGGTATTATATATAAGAAATAGGTTAATATATGTTAATTCAAAAAGAAATTTAATTGTCTTGATAACATAAGAGCCATTTTTCTTTAAAGAGATTAATGTAAGGATGCTAATACTATTTGGTGATTGGGAATTGGAAATAGAAGACTACTGGCCACTGTAGGGAAAAAAACTGATTAGAAACTTGAAAGCCCGTGGGCTATGGGCAAGAATTAGCTGGTTCAGGTTCTGAGAATAATCGAAGGGACCTTTTGCAGCCTAGATAAAGGCTTGGGCCCATTGATAATTCCTCCGAAAAGGGCCAGGTCTTGGAAATGGGCCTACTAAAACTCCTATAGATATAACCCAAATTTGGAAATACAAAAAGGCCTGCAAATTTTGGATCCCATGCTTAGTTGAACCCAAATACTTCATTCTCTAGCTTTTTTTTTTTTAATTTATAGAAATCCAACAAAACAAATTTTTTTTCTATTGGGAAAGCTGAATTTAAAGTAAACAAATGCTAATATTAGAAAGGGCATTTAACTCTTAATTCTAATAATAAAATTTAATCTTTATTAATTTCAAATATAACAATAATAATAAATTAAATCTTATATCTCATAATTTTGAGATCAACTGTATGAAAAACCAAAAAAAAAAAAAAAAAAAACGTTAGCTTATAATTTTGAATATTTTTACATCACTCATCCTTATAAAATACAACTTTTTTATATAATTTTTAACTCTCATATCATTTTTTATTATTTTTATCAATGTCTTTCGTAATCTATGTCTAAA